AGACGCCTGAACCGATTTGGATTTTTTTTGTTTCAAAGGGTATAACTTTCCAGGTGGTCCCATATAAATTTTATCGAAATCAGTCGAACGGTTTTAAAAAAAAATCAACAATAAATGTATTTTTTAAATAATTTTTTTAATCGAATATGTTATTAAAAAACTTTCTTCTTACAAATTACCTGCTTATTATGTCTACACTAAAAATGTAAAAATAAAACTTAAAAAAACCGACTTCCAGGCACTAAAATGAAAAAAATAACTAAACGGTGGTATTCATTTATAATAGATACCTAATCAGATATTTTCGAAGTCGGTGCCAGCTGACAATATTTTAAGAAATGAATATCTAATAGCTAAATATGTATTTTACATATCGAAATATATTAGATTTGCTTTGCATCGGCACATGCAACTTAAATACAACCTAAAACTTTAGACTTTGTACTAAAGCAACATAAGTTCTGAGGAGGCTTAATAAAAGAGCGTCGAAATAGCGCATGCGTCATTTCTAGAGTGTCTGAAAGGGATAATATGGTAGGCTATATGCAAGTATTATCGTTGCTTTTTTTTAGTCATTAGGTACCTACAGCTGGAACCGATGCAAGTATTGGAACTTTAGAAATACAAAAAAAAACATAGGTAATATAATATTATTTATTTAATTTTAAAGTATAATGGTTCATTATTTGTTGTTGACAAGATAGTTATCTTGTTAATCATAAAGTTCAGTTTCAAATAAAATAAAACTATGATTTGACGAATTAATAAAATAAAAAATATAAATACACCTACGCGTTGAATGTATCATCTCGTTGTTTTTCAACCCCCGGTGCAAAAAGAGGGGTGTTATAAGTTTGACGTCGATGTCTGTCTGTGGCATCGTAGCTCTCAAACGGACCGATTTCGATGCGGGTTTTTTCAATTGAAAGCCAGTTTCCTTGCAGTGGTTATTAGCTTTGTTTGGTTAATACCGGTCTAGCAGTGTAAGAGTATCAGCTCTTTTGCAAAATGATGTAAGGCATTTTGGCGTATGATTACTCGATTAAGTGCTTCACGCGTGCCAGTGTAATCATTAAAGGATAAATAAAATAAAATAAAAATATTTAAAGCACAGATAGTGCTTCATTAAATTTTAATGTATCTATAGATGTAACTAATTTATAAAGCCAAAAGATTATATATACTTTTTCAAGATTAGCTATTTTAAATAGTTTTTGACATATTTAGTAAGTTGCTAAAATCTACATGGTATCATCGTTTTTTTATTCTAACCAGTTTTTGTATTTTTTCTTAGAAATAAGATATTTTTCTGCGGTAAAAAGTATCCTATATGTTGACCCGGATAATCAGCTATGACCATACCAAATTTCATCAAAATCTGTCCAGTAGTTTTTCTGTGATGCGGTAACAGACAAACAGACAGACAAACAGACAAAAATTCTAAAAACTATAGATTCGGCCTCTGTATCGATAATAATGTCTAAATCAATAAGATTGTCTAAAAAATATTTAATGTACAGATTTGACTTAGTTAGAATTTTATTATATGTATAGATTATTTATATTGAATTTAATATGTTTTACTAGGAACAATAAGTATCACTTATTTCTGAGTGCGGATGTTGCTATCGGTGTAACGGCGTCAAGTGACAAAATTAAAAATATTCGAACCTACATAGGTATATGAATACGTATATTTTATTATTCTCTTATAACTTGTAATTATGTAATTAAATCTTGGAAGTCTATTTTTCGAACTGCTATATCCAGTTGAAACTTTGTATATGAAATCCAGATGATCCATACATAATATTATAAATGTGAAAGTGTGTTTATCCTTCTTTCACGTCGAAACGGAGAGACGGATTAGCGTGATTTTTTGTGTGGAAATAGTTGGAAGGCTGGAAGCGGAGAGTGACATGCTGTAAAACATTCGAAACGTCGGGAACCAAAAATCAAAATAAATCCACGAAATAATCCGAAAATATAGTTTTATTTAAAATATAATTTATAACTTAAATTTTAGAGATTTTATTTGTATTTTAAAAGTTGTATTGAGTCGATTAGAAAACCTACTACTTAATTAATTGATTTTAATAATCAATAATGGTTGAATTAATTTACATAAATTTGTTTTAATCCAAAAAAAGCAACAATTTCATAAAGAGTCTTCTATCCCCGCATGAGGCAAGTATCCCCCAAAGCAACATAAGGCAACTATCCGCCACAGAGGGCAACTATCCCTTTTTGTAGAAGTCAAATAAAACAGGATTTCCTGGAAAACAATATTCATTGTGTTTAAAAAAATAGCTTACAATGAAAGATTAAGGACCAATGTTTTATTATACACGGGGCATATTGTAAGTAGATACTTATATTTTATGTAATTGGAGTGTTTAAAAAAGTAGGGCAACTATCCGGCTCTTACCCTATAGATTAATATACCTAATGTGATATAAGACAGAGCGGGCTGATATTAGCTTATTTAATATAGGTACATACACGTACCTAAGCGCTTTTGTTGACTTCATGTCTATTTAAGATATCTTTTTGATCGAGAGATTCCGTAGGTAAGTCAAGTCGACGTAGGATTTTAAGGTTCTACTTCAGGTTAAAATCCAGTTTTAGTGAGTAGGACTCTTGCAGTACTCCCCCATGACGGGTTTCCTTCAGTATAAACAAAAAAAAGGGGTTATTGAACACCATACTGTGAAAAATATAATTTACTAAAAGAATTGCTACAAATATAGGACCAATATGCTTAGGCAGATAGTTTGGCTTATAAATGTATGTAAAAGGTTGCTTTTTTGGGTAAAATTTATAAACAACTGTGTCTAAACCAAAGATACAGCTTATTAAATATTCAGTATTACCTTATAGCTAATAGGTAAATGAGTTCAAATCCTTAAAATAAATATAATTTTGAGCTTACCGTCAATCTTTCACATTTATGTAAAGTACGAGTTGACAAATATTTACGCCGCGCTGCAGATATACATACAGTGGTCTGCGTTTTCAATATAACTACTTACCTAACAATGTGCCGAGGGCAGTGCTAAACACTATAATGTGGATGGATTAAATTACATTATAGTAGCTTACATTTGATGATATATAATGAAGTTTCGCATGTTGCGTTGGCAAAAAATAAGGTTTTAGCTGCATAGTCTTTAATTGGTAGGTAAATATAGATAGATACTTACTAAACAGTCAACCTCATTCAATTTGGTTAAATCAAAATGAAAATTGAAACTACTCCATTTTTTCTTTAATTAATAATTAATATAAAAAATATTGACTTTAAAAATTAATCGAGTTCGTTACCATTAACAGATTCCAGTCTAGTTTCGACAATCAATTTACATAGAACTATAAATGTCTAATTGCATACCAATTTTAAGGCGAAACCGTAAAAACCTCAAAGCAAACAGCTGGCTCGTAAATGGTGATGAATGGAGGGTTCAAGATCAGGCAGTGGTTTGCACTCTGCGCGCGCGCTCTGCTGCCGCGCCATCTTGTAGGCGGAGCTTCACGTATTGCAGATACGTCATAGACGTCTCTCTTTTCTTATTCTAATAAATAAAATGTTAAATAGAGGCATGCAAACGAGCGTATGATTTAGTATTTTTCAGTGTAAATGTGAATTATAAAATATGTAGCAGCCCGCAGGACTAAAAATATTCAATTATTATTAAAAAATTAAAGCATTCGTTATGTTGATACGTGTTAGTACTCAGTTTCATGGAAAAATGATAAATTATTTTATTTAAAAAACAATTAACTGTCAAACAAAAATTCATGTCGATTGCTGAGAAGAAATTACCTATTTCTTTTAGTATAAACACTGCTTCATAACATACCTACCTACCTATTTGTAGAGAGAGCTTGTAGTTTCTATAAATCTGGAAAAGGTTACCGATAAATGAATAACTGTAAATAATAGATGTTTGAATAATTCATTAAAATACACTTTTTTAAATGTTTTTACTTTTAGGTAAAAACATTTAGATATTTAACTAAGTACTTAAATATCCTTTCCTCAATCATTTAACACAAAAAAGTATTTATTTATGAGTAACATTTTAGACATACCTACCTATCTTTTGGCATACAAAAAAGACTCAAATGATTTCTTTGTTATAATACCTTCGTCGATGTGCTATGGCGGTTTGAATCGCTACTTCCGTTTTTATCGTGAAACAAACATGGTTCTATTGTAAGAAGGATAGAGTTGAGTTTTCTATGTCAAGAACCTTTTACTCGAGCCAGTGTAAATAAATCGGGCTAGTTTAATGCAAAACTTTTGGTTTACGCTTTATGGTAAATATTTGGTGTACGTCGTATAACTGTTTTATAGATCTAGTAAAATGTTTGGTTTAATTGTGCTAGGTCAAGAGCGGGCGTTCGACAGGCGTCCTTGCGACGGGTAAATATTATTGTCTAAGCGGGTTTTCCGCTGTTTAGTGTTTGTACAAACTCATGAGTTATCCAGGCAGTGGGAGCTGCACAATAACTACCGCGCACAGGCTATTCTAAAAGTTGTAAAAATTTATCAATAATGAATCGAGTTAAAGTAGTTACCTAGTGGATAAGGAAGCTTATCTAAGGACACGTATGTAGCCATCACCGATAATGACAATTAATATTTAAATAAGTATTGCTTAATACTTACCTTAAAATCTATGTTACTATTTAAATACTTATTCCTAGAGATCACTCGAATGCATGTGACCTAGAAAGATTTTTAATCAGTTTACATACACAACTCTATCTATAAATAAGTTCAAACACAATTATTAGATACGATAGGCATTAATAACATAATTATACTTCTTTAATTTTTTAATTCATTTCATGAAACAAAAGTATAGATAGAGTAGCTCATAGGGATGTGGGAGTGGACGGGCACGGGTGCGGGGCGCGGCGGTGGGCGGCGCGGGCGCAGACATGCGGTGGGCGGCGCGCGCACTGTGCTCCGGCCCGCGTACTGACGCGCACGCATGAAGACCGAGGACCAAACGACTGAGGAGGCGGCGCGCCGGGCGCCTGCCACCCGCCGCCAGGAAAAACCACCTTTCTCCTACATAGCGCTCATTGTCATGGCCATTCGCCACTCACCCAACAAACGTCTCACTCTTAGTGAAATATATGCGTTTCTCCAACAACAGTTTCCATTTTTTCGGAGCTCCTACCAAGGTTGGAAGAACTCAGTAAGGCACAATCTCAGCTTAAACGAATGTTTTGTTAAGTTACCCAAAGGTCTCGGGAGGCCCGGGAAAGGGCATTACTGGACAATAGACCCATCATCAGAGTTCATGTTTGAAGAAGGTTCGTTCCGACGCCGACCACGTGGTTTTCGACGTAAATGCCAAGCTTTAAAACCACAATTTGGAGGTGGTGGATATTTATGTGGTAGCGGAGTCGGTGCGCTACCTCCTTCTCAACCAACTGGTTACGAGCTGGCAACTGGAAGCGGTGCTGGAGCAAGTAGTACGCCATCACTAGATTACGGCGCATGTGCATACTCCCACACAGGTTCTAGCCAGCAATTAAGTTACGGCGGAGAGTACTGCACTTACAGCAGTATGGGAGAACGAGAATGGCCCTTAGCCTATGGCACTGTAGAGCCATCCTATAGGCCACCTCCAGCTTCACCTCCATCGAGACATGATTTGCCTGACCTTATACCCAATTATCAATACGCCGTCGCTAATGATCATGGTAAGTCTTGTAACTTTTATAATTGAGATAACCTATTTTCTCTATGATATTATTCGTAACTTTTTGTTTTGTAAAATACATATATACATCTTTATGACCTTAATCAGTTAAGTATTTGTTTATTTAAATAAATAGTTTTTATGTTAAAAAGTTTATAAAAAATATATTTTAAAACTGTCACTATTTAACCAAATCTTAATTCTACCCTTATAGATATTTTATTAAAATTTAATTCCTGTCTCTTAATCAAGTTCTTAAAGTACTTCAAGTACCTATCCATACACCATTTATTGCATGAGCTTGTAAATATATTATTTAAATAAGTTTTAATACATCTTATTTAGGCAATTGTTGTCTACTAATGAGATAATAATAATAAGGTACTATAGAAGCCAATACACGAACAGTAATTATATATATAGGTATATATATATATATATATATATTATATATATATATATATTTAACTATACCTACCTATATTCAAATGGATAAATGGAATGGAGTCGAAAAAAATAGTCGTAAGCAAAAACTTTTTCAAACATAAATATTTACTAATAAATAAATGGTTGTTATATGGTATCGCGGACACTCTTATGCCATACATTACATTATTTTTTATTTTATTTATTCAATCATTTAGTCAGTGAAGCTTTTTCTGCCGACTCGATTCATTAAAACTATTGCTGAGATATAAAAACCTGCTAGGGTAAATTTTAAATACCTAAGTCAGATTTTTCCCGTAGCAGTTCATGCAGATAATAACAGAAATAATTTTATCCTCAGTCAAATTCGCTTAGTATTATCGTGATTAGCGCGCATATAGGTATGTACCTATATCTAAACAAAAGGATAAACGACGAAGGGGAAACGATAAGGAAGAAAGACATTGTAGCAAAATGAGGAAGGCAAATTGTAAAACATTTAATTATGAATCGAAATAAAAATTAAATTGTAAGAAAGTGTGTACTGAGAAAAAACACACCTAATATCAAGCTGCGCTTCGGTTCGTTCCCGCCTTAGCCTTTTCACCAATTATAATCTGAGTCGGATCTGTCACCTAGCCTGAAATACGTACTGGAATGGCAAAAGTAGCACCGCGTGTTATACAAAACAGAATTGTTTTGTAAAATAGGTTTATATAAAATAAGTGATTCCTTTTATTTATTTATTTCAAATCATGGTTACATATTGCGGCAAATGAATTAAGACGGCGCGGGCATCGTTTGTATAATGATGAATTATACAATATGCTTATCAGGCATATGTGCCTATCTAATACCTTTAAGTAAGTATTTTGATGGAATTAACTGTACGTCATTATGTCATTCACATCAGATAAACATTTAGAAAATAGATTTTATAAATAACAAAATTTTCATGAATTAATATTTTCTATTTAAAGAGAATAAAAAAAATCAGTTTACATATAATATAGGAATTCAAATAATAACAAATTGTTAAAAAGATTCTTCTTAGAAAACGTATAGTATGGTCATAACTTCGGTGTTCGAGTCGAACCCTAGCGATTTATTGATTGCTAATGAGAAAGTAGGTACTTACAAGCTACGCAATGTAACACTTGCCCGATTTTTTTATATTTTTTAAATAATGTTCATATATAATATGTCGTTGTAATAAAAAAATAACTAATCAGTATTATAAATCATAAAAAATGGTCTGTAACATATTTTTCTACAAACATCTTGAGGGTGTCGACAGCAATCGCTCGCGCCTCTGGCTCAAATCAAGTGCTCTCGAAAGTCAACTTATCGAAAGCGCTGAATGCTGATTAACAGTAGCTACGTATGAGAGGGAGCTGCTTTTTAAACTATAAGGAACACTCTATGCCCTTAAAATAGATCGTAAATCATTCACAAGTATAATAACTTAGAGTTAAACTTTCACTTGTGTTTCCTAATGTGCCTGCTATATAGACCGCTGACAGACGAATTTTGATTTGTGCCGTTTTTTTACAAGCTCATGACGTAAATTAGATAATTTTAGGTTTCTGGTAGACCTATAATATATAACCTTGAAATATATACTAGTAAATTGAGAACTGGAAGGAAGTAGTTATATAATTAAAACTCTTCTTAACGTCTACGTGTGTTAAAAACAAGAAGAAAACGTTGTTTACGTCATTTAATAAATCAGCAATTATAGTTAGACAGATAAGAAACAATATCAAAAGTACCAGTCGCCAATATGGCTATGATAATGTACGAGATGAACACGAAGCTCTTGCAAAGCTTTGCTCTCCTAGTAATTAGCACGAAAATTTCACCATGCACGACGTCGGTAAATTGTTTAATCAGTGCACTTCAAATGTCGTTTCTATTACACGTGCAACGTAACAGAATGTATTTTTTTTATAAATATGAACTTTATATTTCTTATTTAATAATAAAAATCGATTTAAAAACCGATTAAAAATTAAATTTGAAAATATTTTTTATTTATTTAGTTAGAAATCAATCATATCAATGTAAAAAAAAACATGAAAAAAATGATTCGAAATCGAGCCTAACTTAGGTTATGTTACTAGGACAGCATAAAACTCAGAAGCTGTCTTAACCCTAGTTGTAGTACGTTAATTGTAGCCACGCCCAGACAGCTGATGCCGGATCAATACTTATATCTTCATTCATAGTTCTACTACTACTACACATTTAACATTTGTTGACCTACTAAATTGACAGACCAACATAGCTTGAGATTTTATAAAATTAACTTTATTTAAACACCATTAAATAGCGTAATTTACTTCTTTTATCTATACTTTTATATAATATTATAGAGAAGTAAACATTGTTTATTTAAACGCGCTAATCTCAGGAACTACTAATTCAATTTGAAAAATTCTTTTTGAAATAGATAGCCCGTTTATTGAGGAAGGCTATAGGCTATACATAATATATCGTTATGCTACCACCCTAGGGAGCGGACCAGTAATCATAAATGCCAACAAACCGGGCAGACTTCCATACACTATTGTGAAGGGAAGGAAAGAAGAGTTTGTTTTCCACATAATAAGTAAGTTTATTCTTAAATATGGCAATCACAAAGTTATGACCTGATAATTATGTGATATATTCTGAAAAAAGCAAAACAACGTTCGCCGGCCGTACCTTGATGTGTGTGTTACCGTTTAATTAATTATTACTGTTGTTATAGATTCATCGTACCTATATCTATTTACTTTTTTCGATTGATTTTTAATACTATTCATTATGAAATAATTTTCTATATTCTTTAGGTATTTATTATTATGTATTTACATTACACTGATACCGTATGAGTTCAAAGTGAGCGGTTGACAAGTTACTCGCCGCTCGCATGACGTTGCTTTAATAAAAAACTTATGCTCTAAAGCGCATGGTTACAGGTATTGATTTATTAAAGGCTTCTGGGACCTAAGGTACTAGAAGCTCATAGACTGGTAGGAGTAAATTGTATTGTGCGTCTCTTTCTTGTCAGTATGAATCCAAGACCTGTAAACTTTTAAAAGTTAACTTTTACTTTTGTTTCACTCGCAGGTAATTAATTACAAGCTTTTATTGAACTTGCAATGTTTGTTTGTTTGTTTGGGTCAAATACTGCAACTGAATTTTAAAGCAGTTATCCTCAACCGATTAACTACTATCTGAAAATTTGCATACATGTTTAGTTTGGATAACATTGCATGGTTAATGACATTTCTGTGGACATCATTCTAAATCCAATATAGCGGACTCTTAACCATGGCGGACTATGTTTCTTTTTATGCACCTCCATGATATGGATACCAAATGCAAGGGTTTGCTGAGAAGAATACGAATAACTAAAAAAATAATTGTGAAGAAACATTTTTAAATTAAATGAAACCAATCAATTTCTCTATGACATTACACAATTTATCTATACTAATATTATAAAGAGGCAGTTTGTTTGTATGTTTGTTTGTTTGATCGCGCTAATCTCAGGAACTACTAGAACGATTTGAAAAATTCTTTTTGTATTAGATAACCCGTTTATCGGGGAAGGCTATATTCTACCTATTTATCACATAATATACCTATACATACCATACTAACCATTAATATAAAAGAAATAAAAGCTTGTCGCGAGATTTACCTGTGTAAATAAACAAGAAATAAAATATAAAAAAATATGTCTTTTTACAATTATTTTATTATTACCTATATGATTCCGTTATTATGTTTAATTGTACATATAGGTACCTAAATATTAACTTTACTTAAATAGGACATGTAAAATCAAGGCCTTTGTAAAAAATTACCTTAACTAAAGTTTAATGAATCACCAATAAAAATATAACTGTTACCCAGTTATATTTTTATTGGTTACTCATTAGTTAGCATATTTTTCACAGTTAACCTAGCTAGTTATTTATTAAAATGTAAAATACATGTTTTATGAATGTAAGGTACATTATGTAATTAAAAGTTTTTTTTAAATTTCGAATAATAATCTACGACTTATATGATTTCTTAAATGTAAATGTAAACATATACTTTTCTTTGAAGTAAATATATTGGTAAATATCTATTCTTTTGACTTCTTGAAATTAAATTGATAAATAAGTACTTCCTATAGATAGAGGGTATACGAGGTCTGACTTTTTAACAAATTTTCATTGTAGCTAATTCAAATTATCCGAGTAAAATTTCGAGACAATAGTACTAAGTACGGAGTTTGTAGTTGTATGCTTTATGAATGAAAATATAATATTGTTATATAACTATAAATCAGAATGAGATAGCATCTGAAGAAGCATATTTTGTTGCGAGGGGGTGGTCAGTCTGTATTGCTCCTCCCATTAAAGCAGGTCGGTACACTACAGTATTTTCATGCATGTAGTAAATGCATAGCCATCGCTACACATTTATGCAGCCCTAGTAAAATTGCATCTGATTTTTAGGTTATACGTATCTACATCGTACATTATATTAATATAATTAACGAGTGACTTATCCTCGCTTCGCTTGGGGGTGTCCCTAGGTACGGTTTCTATCTATAC